GGAATGCAGGGAGCCCTCTGGAGCACACCACCCAAGCACAGTCCCCAAGGGCCCCAGATGCCTCTGCAGGCAGGAACCCAGCAGAGCTGCCACTGCTCGCTGCCTTCATCTCCGTTCTGGTCTTTCGATTTGCTGCTTGTAAAGCCAGGCTCCAGGCTGGAAACCGACATCTCGCTTTCTCCTGGTGCTTCCCCAAATCCCACCATCACTCTGCCTAGGATTCCTCCCGCTCAAGTTGCCTATAGGGTATGTCAGTCAATCCATGCACTTACTGAGCACCAACTGTGTGCAAGCGGATGATAATCTGCCCCAGCAACAGCTGCAGTATGGAGAGACTGGTTCTCCACACCCACAGCTAAAACTCTTCCCATGTTCCCCCCAGACAGGTTTAATCACTACGGGCTTCATCTCTGCCACACCAAACTTATGATTCTAAGCACTCTGTCTCAGCTCTGGGTGTTCAAAATTTTATGATGATACCACCATGCTGTTGCGTCAATGCCGTCCTCCAGGGATGGCAGACACTCCCTGTGGGGGACCCTCAAGATGGAAGCGCTCCATCTATGCAGCTATGGGGAAATGTCATCCATGCTGGGTGAGACTTTTTGGAGATGAGGCTGGTTTGGAATCGCCCACAATTTTTTAAGTAATCTCTCGCCTGAGCTGCTTCTGTAAGTCAGCCCACTAAGCTCTCTGGTTCACCAGTCTAGACGTGGATGGAGTCATCTCTCTGGTCTGCTGTCGTTGGTGCTCTCTCTGGAGTGAACTGACATTTGCTCATGTCTCCCCAGGGAAAGTTGACACAAGAAACAGGATTTCAAGTCTATTTAATCAGACTCTTTCGGTTCTAAGTGACAAAAACCCTGCTCTGCCTGGCCAGAGAAAAGCTCAAAAGCGAGCCAAGACTCCAGGCATCGCTTGATCCAGCACCTCGAACTGCATCACTCTGTGCCCCGCCCCGCCCCCTGCCCCCAGTTCGTGGTACCTTTATTCCTAGAACACATACTATGGTGAGATAGTTGCTAGTAAGGAAAAGTCTGTGTCCCCTGGGTCACATGGGGGTCTCCTGCCAAGCAAAGTGACAAAAATATTAAGATTGATTACTGAACTGGATCTGCCACCAGGCCATCATGGCCACGAACCAAACACAGTGGCCAAGGGGATAACGGACTACTCTGATTGGCTTAACCCGACTCCCAAGTGCTTGTCTCCATACAAGCCAAATGGCTGGAAGGGAAAAGGTGGTTTAGAAATCCAGCGAAAGGGGTGGTAGTCATTTGCTATCAAAAGTGGATGGACATGGGGCTGGCGAGATGGCTCCGTGGTTAAGAGTACTTGCTGTTCTTCCAGAGGACCCCTAGGTTCAGTTCCCAGAACCCGTATCAGAAGGGTCACAGCTACCTACAATTCAAGTTCCAGGAGATTCAACTTCTCTGCCTTTTCTGGGCACCTGGATTTGTGTATACAAACCCACACAGAAACATACACAAATACATAATTAAAAATAAAAATAAATGTTTTTTAAACAGAGGGTGAACAGATATAGGAAGGTAAAAGTAAAATCCCCACACAATTTCTCAGGCTGTGCTGAGCAGAGATACTATGAAGACCTCACGCAAAGCTTTTTTTAATTTTCAGATTTCGTGTGTGTGTGTGTGTGTGTGTGTGTGTGTGTGTGTGTGTGTGCATGCACTCACACACGGTGCACATGAGGAGGTCATAGGACAACTTGTGAGGCTCAGTTCTTTCTTTCACCCATGGGTCCCAGAAATAGAACTCAGATCTTTGAGCTTGGCAGCAAGTGCCTTTACCTGCTAAGTCATCTTATCAGCCCAACTCAAAGGTCCTCAAAACTCCCCAAATTTGGACAGCAGATGGTGCCAGAAGACAATGTGGTAAAGGCACAGGGTCCCAGCTCTCTGCCTTTTCGGAGTTGAGCAAGCCAGGCACCCCTGTGCCCTCCCTCAAGGCCACACTGCTCAGGTTAGGGCATTCTCTTTCCAGAGCTCTTCTCTGCTGGTTTGCAGCCAGCGTGGGTTAGCTTCCAATGGAGAGAGTGAGAATGAGCCAAAGACTCTGTAGGTAGTAACTCTAAGGGGAAAAAATGGGGAACTCATCTAGTGGCTTTGGAGGAACATCTAGTTATCAGTTCTGTCTATAAATGGGAAGAGAGGCACAGATGTAGCATAAAAGATTGCATTCCTGGTCTCCATTCTTGGGTCTCCTGAACTGATATTTTACATTTACACCCTTATCAAGGCCACAGCTGGAGTCTACCCTACCTCGGGCAGTTACAAGTGGTTGTGAGCTGCTAGGTATGGGAACCTGGGAGCTTAACTTTAGTCTTCAGCAGCTGTAGCAGGTGCTCTTAACCTCTGAGCCATCTCTCTAGCCCCTAGACTGGGACATATTTATGGGTCACAGTTGGCCTGTTGTTTTCCCCTAGCTTAGCAAGAAGAGGAACATAGAGTAGCCTTGAACCCTTCCGGGAGCCCCAGAGCAGCGGTGCCTTCACTCATGGCCCACAGCAGAGTTCCTGACCAGTCTTCGAGCTGTGAGCCAAACAGAAACCTCTTGTTCGATGATGTAGATGTATCCAACCTTCTTATTAAATAATAAACACAGAACCAATGCAAAGAAGAAAGCCAAGAGGTCAGAGCTAAGAGCTAAAACCTTACCCTTCCTCCTGCGGTGGTCCTACCTCTCCGAACCAGAGCTACCCCTGTGTTAAAGTCTTTATATAGAGTTCCTGTCCTGCCTTCTCATTGGTTGTAAACCCAACCACATGACCGCCTCCTCACAGCCTGTCTGTATAGGCCTCCAGGTTTTCCATGATTGGTATTAAGATTAAAAGCATGTGTATCCAATAATGGCTGTATCCCTGAACACACAGAGACTTACCCAGCTCTGCCTACCAAGTGCTGGAATTACAAGCGTACGCTACCACTGCCCTGCTTTCCTATGGCTTGCTAATAGCTCTGATCCCCGGGCAACTTTATTTATTAACATACAAATAATATTTTAATACAAATAAAATATCACCATACCAAAGTAACTCAAACGCAGCACTGCCACGGCACTCACATCTCAGCGAGAACTGGAGACTCTGATGTGACCCAGTCCGGCACTGCACCAGGGTTTAGGGGCCTTGCTGGATGAGGCAGCAGAGGTCCAGGTCTGCAGTACCCCACAAACGCATGCTATCACAGGGCATGCGATCACAGGACAGTCATACCATCAAAGAAATGTCCATTGTCTCATCTCTGAAATGAGGACAGCGGTGCCTGTGTCTAACCTGACTGCGGGAGCCTGATGGACCCATAGCTCCAGGATTTGCTACCAAGGTCCCCCTCAACCTTGCTGGAGCCCTTGCCTGGGAAGTGGGTCCCCCTCAACCATGCTGGAGATCTTGCCTGGGAAGTGGGTTCCCCTCAACCATGCTGGAGATCTTGCCTGGGAAGTGGCCCCCTGCAGAGATTTAGGAGCCCCCACACTTAGTCAACAACCTCCATATAGAACACACAAGTCAGGCTGGGATAAGTGCAGAAATAGATGTGTGAATTTGTTCTGGGAACCGGGAGGGGGTTGGGTGGCACTCTGGAGAGAAAAGGTGTGGGGAGGGTGGGGGTGGTTTCTCTGATGACAAGATGAGCTGGCCCTGGGATGGATGAGGCAGGAGAAGGGCATTTCAGGCGGGGCAGGAATATGAGCCTGGCTGGGGCACACAGGAGCCTGATCAGCATATAATAGGACAGGGGCCCAGCAGGAGCTGCAGAAGTCAAGTCAGTGGCAGGTTATAGGGCTAGAGGGAGGTCATGGAGGAAGAGAGGGTCCTGGAGGGCCAGCCAGGGTGGGGCATGGAGCTCCTGGAACATGGACCCTCTCACCATTAGGGTGCAGAGGGAAGGGAGTTCACCTGGCTCTCCTAGCTCCTCATACCAGGCCCAGATCCAGAACAAGCCTTGGGCTCGGGGTTCTGTAGGCCCCCTGGGACCTGCAAGGCAAGCAGTCTTGGCAGGTGGGAGGACCCTAGGGAGCTGGTGCAGTTAAGTAGGAAGGAGTGTAGTTTAAATGAATGACACAGTGGGAAGGGAGGGCTGTCAGTATAAAGGGTGACTGGGAGAGCAGGCAGGCGGGTGTGAAGGAGTCACTGAGTCACTGAAAGCAAGGGGCTGGCTCACCCCTAGAGGAGCCCATGGACCCCATCCTGCTCATACTTCTGGGTATGTGGTTGCTGTACGAAAGGCATGGGCCTGGGAACCAATCAGACCTGGATTCAAATCCTGCGTTCCAATAGTTAGGCCATTTATTTGCTGTGTGACCTTGGACTGATGACTCAGTCTCATCATTAACTCTTTTTGTTTTGTTGATGATAGTAATGGTAGTTTATCTTTTGAGACAAGGTCGAATGTAGCCCAGACTGGCCTAAAACTTGCTATGTAGCCATGGCTTGAACCTCTGATCTTCCCACCTCTATTACCCAAGTCCTGTGATTAACAGGTCCCATGTCTGGCTCTGTTACCTTCTATAAAACCTTCTGGGGTTGTTAAGGTTAAAAATAATGCTAGCCAACATTTACTCACCTTGTTTCTATCTCCCACATCCCTTGCCTCCTCTGCACAGCCTCAGGCAGCAGGCACCACTATAAGCCCCCTTTACAGATGGGAAAATCAATGCATAGAGTGGATTAGTCACTGGAAGGACTGAGATTTGAACCCAAGTCATCTGACTCCAGGGCTTGTGTGCTGAACCTGCACACCCTCTATGAGATGATGTGGGCAACTTATATATCACAATCTGCCTGCTGTGGCATTGTTATCTAAACCCCACTAAACAAACAAACATGGAGAACAAGCGGCTGTCTGTAAAACAGGCGCTGAGGAGGTATCCCAGCATCTGTGAGACAGGAACGACATTGCCTGGGGTCTGCCATGCACGAACGTACAGCACAGGTTGTCTCACTTGACTTCAGCAATCACTGGTGTGTTTGTTTTATTTATTTATTTGTTTGTTTTGGTGTTTTTGAGACAGGGTTTCTCTGTGTAGCCCTGGCTGTCCTGGAACTCCCTCCGTAGACCAGGCTGGCCTTGAACTCACAAACATCCGTCTGCCTTGGCTTCCTCAGTGCTGGAATTAAAGGTGTGCACCGCTGCCTGGCATGTTTGTTGTTTTAAAAGACATTATCTCAATACGTAGTCCAAGCTGGCCTAGAACTTAAGATCTTCCTGCCTCAGTCTCCTGAGTGCTGGCATCGCAGTCATGGCTGCCTTGCCCAGCTACAGCCGCTTCATGAGGTAGCTGGAAGGTGAGTTCAGAGACACAATATAGACAACATACTCCAGCCAGCAGTGCAGACATCAAAGCACTCAAGTCCACCTAGCACCGAGCACTATGTCCCAACATAGAAACAACAGTCCCAGAACCTCCAGGGATAGAAGTCCTCTGTGCCTGGGTCCCTCTGGAATAGCTGGTCTGACTCTGCTTCTGTTTCTCTGGTTTTGCATCTGACACACTTCACTGACCCTGGGCTGACCCTGTGCACGGGGCAGGGAGAGGATTTAAGCTCAGGGACTCACAGTCCAGGCTGGGTGATGAGATCAGCTCAGCTTCAAGGGAGACACATCCTCCCAACAACCCACCTGAGACCAAGAGTGTGGATCGCCAGCTCTGCCCTTCCCGTCCCACAGGACTGAGGTGCTGTGTTCCCTCAGCGCTTGGGAGAGCAGAGGCCTGGGGGCTGGGCTTGAACTCGCTGGGCCTTAAATCTTGGCTTTCTGTCTATAGAAGGGAGATAACTATCCCCTCGGTGTTGGGAAGATGAAGGAAGATGGTGGTGAATTACTGGGACCAGTATAAAAGGAAGAGCTAAAGGATGAGGTCAGGGAGTGTGGGAGTTTGGGAAGAGACAAAAAAGAAGAGGAGAAAAAGGAAGAGAGGCAGGGAGAGAGAGAAGAAGGGGAAGCCATCACACCAATTCTCAGGCACAGCTCTGCCCAAGGCTGCTCCCCCACATACATATTAAGGCTACTCACACATTCCTCCTGCATCCTGCTGACACATCTGCCAGATGTGGCTCGGGTTGCCAACAAGAGCAGCTGTCCCCCGACGTGCCCAGCTGCAAAATGAGGTCCTGGAGATGGCAGGAAGGACACAGAAGAGAAGAGGCCAGAAGAACAGCAGTGCCGGGAAGTAACTGCAGTCGTGGGATCCCCTGCCCGGGCCTCAGTCTTGCTGCTTGCTGGAAGAGGCTAGATGACCTTGTGACCCTGGCCAGAGGATGCCAGGGCTGTGGTATGTCTGCAGCCACTAGTCCTGCCCCCTGGATCTTGTCCTAGAAAGACTAGGTGTGACTCTCCCTCCTTGGGGCTGGTCCCTGTAGTTTCCTGAGGCAGGCCATATTCAACTCAGACAATCTGAAGTTCAGTCAAGTTGAATATGAACTTCGCCTTAGACCAACTCTCTTGGCAATGACTTTCCTAAAAAACATGTGCAGAGATATTACAGTAGCTGTGTTCAAGACCTTGGGTGAGACCTGAGGTCCACAGACCAGAGCAGAAAGACAGGATGCTCTCCATGGGGGGACAGAGAGGTGAGAGTGGCAGACCTCAGTTCGGACCTGCTGCACTATCATTTCTATGATCTTGAGTGCCATGACATCTCTGACCCTCAGTCTTCACAACTGTAAAGTGGGAAGAATGTGAAAATGAACCTGGGCTACAGAATCAAATTCCCTGACTTTGACTCCTCAGTTTATCTGCTTGGTGACCTGAAGCCACTAGTTACTCTTCCTCTGAAAATAGATTAACAAGAAGATTCATTTCGTGGGAGGGAGATGTCTTGAGTGAAGACATATGTATACAGGGTCTGGCACCCAATCCATGGCAGCGATTGGCTAGGATCAGGACAGATATGGTTGGCAGCATTCTTGTTGCCTAAAGGGCCTCTGCCCTGATAAAATGCAGATTTGTCCACCAGCCCTCCACTCCACTCAGCGCTCTACCACTGTGTTTTTGAATAGTGTACTCTGCACCCTGCCCACATGAGATGTGCAGGAATAGAAGCTGGCACTGGGGGGCAGTCCATCAGAGCCACACAGATTCTTGACTGGGGAGATGCCAGGAAAGCTCTTTCTTGCTGTCACTGCAGAGCTCTGATGGGTCCTGGTGGCCAGAGTTAAAGCTAGCCTGTCTCCTGGCGCCAGTGGGCCAGTAGAGCTGGGTGGAGTACAAGATGCTGGCCAACTTGTACCAGGAAGCCAGACAGACGAAGGGCAGGATGGGGAACCAGTCTGAGGTTTCATGCTGAGCCTTGAGTATCCCTGGAGGAGCAGAAAGACAGGCCATGAATAAGACCTCTGTCCTCTCAAGGTTTGGGCAGCCTAACTGAGCACTCAAAAGCCAGGCAACACAAGCTTACATTTGAACCTGAGCATTGCTCGACATCACTCACTCCAAGCCTTATACCACCTTCAACGTTTGAACTCAGCAGTTGTAAAGCCGATGAACCCTCCACCAGGCTATTGCAATGCGCCAGTCACTGTCCATGGTGCTGAAACAGCCCTGGCGCTAGGCTCAGTCCGATTCCCACAAGCCTCTCTCAGGAGTTCTGTACTAGGAGATAATTGTTATTTTCGATCTTGATTTTAAAAGTATGTTGCTTCTTGCCGGGCGGTGGTGGCGCACACCTTTAATCCCAGCACTCGGGAGGCAGAGGCTGGCGGATCTCTGTGAGTTTGAGGCCAGCCTGGGCTACCAAGTGAGTTCCAGGAAAGGCGCAAAGCTACACAGAGAAACCCTGTCTCGAAAAAAAAAAAGTATGTTGCTTCTTTTGCTGTTATAGAAAACACAGGTGCATGCCTTTGGCTGAGTGAGTTCTGTGCTTAGTCTCAGGTTCTCTGGGCCATTTCACTTCCCTTAACTACCCCTGCCACTTGTCCTTTGAAAATCAGGGTTTTCCTAGTCCTCTGATGCTGTGTACCCATTGCACATTGGTCGTGCCTCCCATACTTTCCTGGGAGATTCCACCAGGGCACCTCTGGGAGCACATCTATTTTGTTATCCTCACTTGGCAAGTAGGAACAAGAGACTGGGTACAAAAGGACACTGAGGAAAAGGAGTTAGTTATAGCAATTCTGGGGCCAGCACCCAGCTCTTCTAACTGCCTGTCTGCCTCATCCCCATCACCCCACTCTTCCCTAGGGGTCATGGTCTCTCCTTTCAGATCTTTTTTTTTCCCTAAAGAGAACAGAAGCACTGTCTTTATTTCGAGCTCATTGTGTGCCCCTCACTGTGCACTCTGCTTAGCCCTTCCCTCATGAGGAAGGGAGCAGGTAAGGACATAAGCCCAGAAATGAGAAGTGACTTTTACCAGACCACAAAGCAGGTATGTGACAGAGCTGGAATTAAGACTGGAACTTGGTCTGGGGAGATAGTTTAGTTAGCAAAGCACTGGCTGGGCAAGTCTGAGGGCCTGGTTCAGATACCCATGGACTGAACCAGGAGTGATAGCACATGCCTGTAATCCCAGCCCTAGAGAAGAGACAGGAGGAGCCCAGGAGCTTGCTGGCCAGGCAATGTAACCGAATCAGTGAGCTTCAGGTTCTGAGAGAGAATAGCTCAGAAATAAGATAGAGAGCAATAAAGACCCTAATGTCAACGTATGGCCTGCACAAGTGCACACACCCATGCACACACACATGTAAACACACATGACGAAAAGCCCTAGAACTTTTAGGGGGTGTCTCTTACCTCCCCTTTCCAAGCCATTCTAGCAACAAGAGCAGCAAGGAATCTACTTATACCTACAACCTAGAGACTCTAATGCTTCCCCCAAGATGGGGCCATCCTGGCTGAAGCCACTCATTTAGGTCTTGAGCATAGCCCTTGTCTTTTCTTCCTGTGCTGTGACTCCACTCCATGAAATGTCCCTCTGGGTCTGGCCCTGAGTGACATTCACTCTCAAAGGCTTCAGCAATATTGGGTCTTCTGAAGATGTTGGGGGTTAGCGCAAAGGCCCCTAGAAACATGGGTGGGGGCTGGGGGCCTCTTGTCAGGAGAAGATTATGCAGCAGTGTGAATATTGATGAAGCTGTAATTGGCTCCCTCTTTCAGAGCCTGGGCGTCTGCAGGCCCAGGCACTGGGGCTAATTGTTGCAGGCAATTAATAACTTGGATTGTATTCACTCTGGCGCAGGCTGCCTGCTTCCTTGGAGGAGGCAAGTGAGGCTGGGAAAGGAATGCTAGGCCTGGCTGCTTGCAGAATGCTGGGGGAGGAAGAAGAGCGCTACCCATCTGCCAAGCCCCCGCCAGCCCTGTTCAGAGCAACCCAGCCTCGAGCTGGCTCTTTTGCCTCCCCCAAAGCTCTTTCTTCTCCTAAATGATCAGCTCATCTATTCTCTCCTTATGGGAGTTCTGTGAGTCCAAACTCCCAAATGGAGCTTTAGGGAAGAGGGGGCTGGCCAGAGGAAAGAAGGTATTTCAGAGGAAGTGCAAGCCGGGAGCCTAGAAGGCCAGAACTCTAACCCAAGTTCACCCACTAACTTGTTGTGTGACCTCAAAAGGATGATTTCCTCAAAGCGAACCTGGGCAAGTTTACCAAGCCCTTTCCTAAGCAACCTGACAACTGCTGAAACACAACCAATCATTCTATCATTTATCTTTCTGACTACACTGAATTGAACTATGTAAGTGACGATTGACAGTTGCCTAGAAACGAGTCTGCATCTGCCATAAAACTCACTGCAAGTGTAGGAGCAGTGGAGGGCCTCCTTAACCCCATTTTTCAGATGAGTAAACTGAGTCAGTGAAGTGAGCTGACTCACCCAAGTTCACACAGTTACTACCCCCCCCCCACACACATCAACCCCAGCTTTCCCCAAAGTCAGAGTGTTAGCAGATTAAAAAGGGAACTATTTCAAACACTATTTATTCCCTTCCACTATGCTGGGACAATGTCTTAATGTACCATATTTTTAAAGATAAACACTTCCAACCCTCCCCATATGCTTAACCCTCAGCTGCTCAGCCATCTGGTGAAATGACCTGATTTGTGTACAGTCTTCCTCACCGGTGGAGCAAAGAAACAGGAGGAATTAGTGTCTTGGCTCTCGGTTAGTGGGTACCAGGAGTATGAAGACGACACTGACATTCACCCAGATCTTAATCCATGCCATGCAAATGTGTCAAACGCTGCTTTTCCATAGGGATGCTCTTATCTGGCAAACCTTGATAGCCATTGCCATGAGACAGGTACTTTCACTGTCTCCATTTTATAAATGGAGCGGGGGGGGGGGGGGGGGGGGGAGCGGGGGGGGGGACTCAGCAAGGTGAAGTGACTTTCCCAAGGTCACACAGCAGCTCGTAGGGAGTGGAATGGGAAAACAGCTCTCCTGAGAGCGTTGGGCTGCAAGGCTGAGCTAGGAGGCCCTGCTTTTCCTAGCTGGAGACCAGACAGAAAGGGCATTAGAGGAATGGGAACTGAGGACAAAGTGGCTCTTTATGACTCCTATCCCTTTCAAAAGAAGGCTTTTCAATTAGTCGGGAAGACACAGTATAAGGGAAGCGGCTCCTGGGCACCAAGAGGCATTTAAATCAGACCCAGGGAACACTTCCGGCAGAAGGGCACTGGAATTCGGAGACTATGGGAAGATGGGGAACTGCATTCTTTGCTGCCTCTCAGCTGGGCACATCAGGGGGCCACTGGAGTCATCTCTGGGGAGCTCCTGGAGGTAAGAGGTGGGGTTCAGGGAGGTGCCTGAGGTGGGATGATCCAGTCTGGGGGGTAGCCAGGGAGAGAGAGGGAGAGCTAACAGCCCTGGAGCAGGATGCTCACAGCTTTCCTTACTTGCCTGTTCCACTGCCACCACAGGCGCCCCTTTACAATGGACATATTTCAAAGGCCTGGTTCCATTTGCATTTTTAAAACTGGGCTGATGGCCTGGGAAAATCATATCCTTTCAGGATTTCTGAGTATCACCCCTGCAACGCGCGTGCGCGCGCGCGCACACACACACACACACACACACACACACACACACACACACACAGAGAGAGAGAGAGAGAGAGAGAGAGAGAGAGAGAGAGAGAGAGAGAGGCCATGGTCAAGTCCCCTGCCTCTGTACATTCCCTTTGAAGAGGATCCCTTACCAAAGGCAGAACAAGCCCTGGCCCTCTGGAGATTACTTAACCGGAGCTCCAGAGAGGAGAGAGGACTCTAATGAAAGTTGGGAAAAGGTCATCAGGGCCCTTATCAAATCTAGTTCCTGGGAGAATGAGGGTCAAATCCACAAGCGTGGGTTCGTGAGAGGCACAGCACCCTGGGGGCAAAAATGGGGTGCGCTGTGATTCTATCAGATTGCAGGGAACAGCATAGGGGCTTTGGAGAACTTTGAGGAGGCTCTTAGAAGCAGTCTGAAAAACAAATTGAAAAGAATTAAGTCATTCACCCAGAAAAGCAAACCTCTGCTCTCAGCTGGGCTTGAGAACACACTACGTGTCTCCCATTACTTCCTTAGAAACAAGTATTTCCCCGGTTCTCCTTCCTCCCACCTCCTCCCGTGGTTCCTCTTTCTCTGCCTCCCTCTGGGATATGTTAGGTGGAGCTGGGTGTTTGCAAGGCACTGCTGGGCTGTTCTGCCTAGAGTATCACATTTGGCCTCTGCACTTGTGGCAGCAATATACACACATACTCCATTTTAGACCTTAGTTCTCTCTCTGTCTCTGTCTCTCCGTGTCTGTCTGTCTGTCTGTATTTCTCTGGCATCCTTCCTGCCAGGAGCAATCCCTAGGCCTAATGTCTTTAGGATGGCATGAATTCACTGCAGATCTTCTGACAGATTTGGTGACTGTCCAGTGGGTCCCCTAAAAATCCTTTGGTGGGGGGAGGCAAATGCCGGGGCAGAAACATTGGCTCTGGTCATCTGCTTCTGCGCAGATGAGCTCTGGGGCACCCAGGATCATAAGTGCCCATATCCACCTGGCAACCAGCCTGTGAGTGCTGTCCCCAGGGGACTGTGTCCAGAAAAGCTGAACAGGTGCTGCAGGTGAGTGACGGTAGGACTTTACTGTAGGACCCCAAAGTCAGAGGGTTTCAGAGAACTCCCAAGTTGTCTCTTTTTTATTGAAATTTTATTTATTTATTAGTTCTAGTGTGTTTGAAGGGGGTGTGCACGTGTACCACAGTGAGTGCGTGGAGGTCAGAGGACAGCTCACAGGAGTGGGCTTGCCCTGGGGATCAAACTCAGGTTGTCAGGTTTGGCAGCAAGCACCTGTTAAGTCATCATCCAGGCCCCTAGCTTTCCTCTTTCAAAAATACGGATGGGGGCATGGGTTACACAGAGTAGAGCCAGGTGTGGGACTTTTGATATTTTTATTTCATGATGCTCCTGCATTCTCTTATATAAAATGGAGACTTCAAGAAGGCAAAGGGTTCAGCTGACTTATTTCTCTATTTTCCTGGTTATCCAGAAGTTCACATTCTGATTTTGCATCATAATCACCTGAGTGGCCTCTCAGCCGGCAGTGGCATCCCTCCTGCAGCGAGAGGCTGGAACCAGGCCCTCTTGAGAGTCCCCTTGCCTCTCCTTGGGTGACATCAAGGCCAATGTCTTTGGAGCACTGAAAGAGAGAAATGAAGCAGGGGGATAGTCTTGATTTCTGGGCTCCTTCCTCTTTGGGCACCCATTAGACAGGGGATGTCAGGCAGACCTGTGCTGCTGCTGGACGAGTGCCCGGTCCCAGGGGCTGGCAGGGCTCCGGACTCTGCTGCCAGAGAGGTGAATAGAGGAGGGAGAAAGGGATGATGCCAGGCGCCTGGGCTTGGCAACCATCTCCGGAGGGCATACGGGGATGCCCTCGAGTGTCCAGCGGGCTGGTGAGGTGCCAAAGATGAGCAGATGTGGCTGAGAGCCGCCAGCAGGAGCGCACGCCTGGGAGAGACCTGGGCGCCCGGAAACCTCGGGGGCCGGTAGGGGACATGGCCAGGGCCGTTTGCAGAGCCTGGGACTGACCCCCAGGGGTCGCTGCGCTATGCGCAGCCCCTGCTCGCCAACGCCGGGAGCCTGGCTGTACCACCGCGCGGTTCCCGCAGGGGGAGCGGCAGCCAGGGCGGCGCCTGGCGGCGGGATCGGGGGACAGCAGCGCGCGGCGGAGCGCAAGCCCTCGCCGGACGGTGACGCAGAGCCCGCAGGCGCTGAAGCTGGAGGCGCCAGTGGCTGTGGCGCGGCGCGACTCCAGAGCCTGCCCGGGACACCCCCGCATCCCGTGGTAGGAACCGGGACCCAAACAAAGGCGGGCGGCAGATAAAAGGCGGCGGCGGCCGCGAGTGCTCTCGGTGCGCGCTGGGGACGCAGTTGTTACTGACCTGCCCGCGGTCTGCACGCCCGGGAGCGAAGCTGGGCGGGGGGGACGCTGGGCTCCTGCAGCTCCGAGGACCTTCCCCTCTGAGACTCCCCACAAGGGACAAATCTTCGCAGCGGGGTCGCCGAAGCCCCCTATTCCCTGCGGCACCGGTGTTTCAGCCTAGCTTAGCTCGGCCAGCGAGGTGAGTGGGACGGCCGCTGGGCGCCATCGGGGCTGGGGATGCGCTGCTCCGAGGAAGGGAAGGGACTAAAGCGCCACACACGACCGGGCCTGCGCGGGGGGCCGGAGGGGATGGGAGTGCGGAAAGTTCTTCCGCTCTCAGGCCACCCCGGGTGAGGGCCTCGGCGTCCCAGGAACGCCGGCTGATGAGGACAGAGTTCAGATCTCAGAGCTTGTCCCCGCGCTTCCGAGGCCGGATCCCAGCCTCACATCAGGGCGCTGGGGAGCCGCTGCAGCTTCGGTCTGCCGGAGCGAGTTTAACGTCCAACCTGGATCCCGACCTCCGTACCCCTGCTTGTCCCAGTGGGTGTCTGTCTGGGTCCATAAAAGTTGAGCGTCAGCCTGAAGCCATCCCCAACCCGCTGTCTGCCGGGCTTCAGAGGCGGGAGGGGACAGGAAAAGGTGATCGATGGCCTCTACAGCCACCCCCTACTTAAGAGCACTCACGCGCTCAGCGGGACGTTCTTCGAGTCCTGGGCCGCGGTTAACCCACTTGCAGGTGCCACTGCGTGAGTGAACCTTTGGAGCTCCGGCAGGCAATGGAAGCCTAGCGCTAGAGGGTCCCTGGCTCGGCCCAGAACGCCAGTGAGGACTGTGATGGGGTGGGCATCTGAGCAGCCGTGTGGCCCAGAGTCAGTGGAAGATTCCCAGCGCTAATGGCAGCGAGTCCCGAGAGCCAACTCTGCCGCTGGGAGAACTTTTCCCAACTCCCCGGGGGAGACGTCCCCTTGGAGGTTTTCTCTGCTGGACCTTTGTCTGCTCCATAGAGGGTGCCAGCTAACCGCTATGCTTCCTGAGTCTGGGTGTCGGTCCTGGTCTGTCCGCACCCTCGGTCAGTACCGCGGACAGCGCACAGGAGCCTACAGCCCCATGCTCCACGCCAACCACGCACTAACGGAAGCACGCGCACACACTATGCATAGATCACTCGCGAACGCTCCATGAGCAAATTCACACTCCATTCTGATAAATATACTCCCTTCGTGCCTAATAGGCACACATAACGCACGTACAGACCTAGGATTCACACCCACGTGGACAAGCGTAATCTTTCCACAAGCCCCAGTTTGTGGATCAGGATACATCCCACTCCATGCTCTAGCTAGAGGATGCTTAAAACCCCAGACCCTGGAGACCACTGCACAGGACTCCCGCTGATGCCTAACGACACACAGGGTCTCAGGCTGTGGGACACAGACACGGGTGTGCATACACACAAACACAGAAGCTCAAACAGCCCCTCTCTCCTTCTACTGCAGACCTCCCCGGAATCAGAGTATCTGCCAGAAGGAGCGAAGCAGCTGTTAGGCTCAAAGGAAGCTCCGGGCAGCAGCCCAGCCAGGCAGGCAGGCGCCTCACTGTCTTGGTCTGAAGCTCAGTGTCCATTTCGTACTCTCCACCCCCATGCCTACTCAAGCCTCTTCCTGGCATATCTTCTCCCTCCAGGGTCTGCAGTCGCTGCTCGTGTCTTTGTTCGCTGTTCTGCTCCTTCCCAGGGTTATCTTTCAAATGCACACCCTTTGGTCTTTCCTGTCCATCATCCCTCCAGGCTACCTCTGTTCCTTTTCTGACTTTCCTTCACTTGAGTCTGACCCAGTCTGCACTCTGATACCCATGCTGTCACAGGTACCCAGCGCTCCCCTGGACAGTCTCCCTCCATGGTCTCAGCTTCAGGCTTTCCACTGTGAAAGGACAGCGCCGCCCACAGGATCCCTTTTTGGACTTGATTATGAAGAACACTGGCTCTCGAGAGAGAGTGACTTGACTTGGGTGGGATTGAAAATCATGGTTGTAACTCCCAGTGGTTACAGTGCCTCCCCACTTCCTCAGAGCTCCTCACTGCTGCTAAAGTCACCCTGCTCCTGAGCGAGGAATACCCAATTGATTTTCTTAATAGGACCAGAGATGCCAAGTAATTTTCTTAAGGTCTCACTGCTCGGGTCTAGTCTCCATGGAGGCAGGCACTGATATGGTTGTCTGTGTGTCCACTGTATCAAGCCATGAAGGCCCAAGCCTTTTTATTGTCTGGTAGCAAGGACTTCCCTGACTACCCAGCATAACTGGCTAGTCAAAGACAGATGGGTGGCTGGGTTGAAGATCCTTGTCTCCAGACACATGACCTCATAGAAGGGACTGGCCAAGATATCTCACTAGTCAGTATTATCCTGACGGCCAGCCTCAAGCCTCTAGGACTCAACCAAGCAGCTGCTCATGGGCACCGTTCGGCTCAACTGTTTCTCACAGTCTCTTGATTTGGGGACTGCAAAGTGTGGTGCTGAGAGACAGGGCGGACTCCCTAAGGGAACCACCCATCTACCACTGGTTGTAAATATAGGCACCCCAAAATGATGGCCGTGGCGATGTCATGGAAGCTGATAGTAATAGTCTTAGCATTGATAACTGACAGTAGCAGAATCTTAATTGGAAGCTCGGTGATTAGTTCTCTGGCCCCCTTCTCCCCTCTTTGAAATTATTTCCTCACCTGTACCCCTCTCTGTTCCCTTTCCTGCATGCTCAGGTGTGGGCAGTGAGAGTCACTGTCCCTTGTCCTAGCCGAGGGAGGGGCTTGTCATTGGAAACCCTCTCTCTCACTGCCCACCCTCCCCCTCCCCACTGGAGCCTGTTTCTGCCCATGGAGCGGGAGAGACTTCAAAGTCTGTCAAAACACCCTCCAAAGCTAGGTTCCAAAGCACCAATATCCCGGGGAAAATAAATAAAGAGAGCAGTGTCAGCCCGAAATAGAAACACGCACCCAATCACAAATATGCATGTTTTCCATGAGTCGAATTTCACGGGCAGACAGTGTAGCATGCGCTCCAGCTGCTCAACAAAGGCCAGAGGCAGAGATGCTGCTGGTACCAGTCCAGGGAAGCCAGCAGAACCAGAGAGCTTGCTCCCCACATTAAGAGACCACAGGGCCACACTCCTGGCTGCCCTGACTGGAAGGTGTCAGAAGGTGAATGGCAGTTAATATGTTCCTGTGGGCTAGTCACCTGTTCTTCGGGAAGGGACATGCAAGGCTGATGGCCTCAGGTCCCCTGCTTACAATGAGAGGCTGGCAATGGCAGTACCCATAGCAGCAGCTGCCAGTAGTTGGATGCCTGCCTTGTGCCAGGCACTAAATACATACACATGCAATCATATTTGAGCTTTGACATGATCTTCTCATGGCGTGGGGGTTGCTATCCTCAAGGAATCCATGGGAAAACAGGGCTCCGAGAAGTAAAGAGACTAGTCTGAAGCCACACAACCTGAAGAGTCCAAGTTTTTCACGACAGAGTTTCTATGTGCATCCCTGGTTGTCCTGGAATGCCCTCTGTAGACCAGGCTGGCCTTGAACTCACAGAGCTCCTCCTGCCTCTGTCTCCTGAGTGCTGGGATTAAAGGTGTGCCCAGGATTCTGCATTGTTGTAGTTATTTGTTTCTTGTTTATTTAATATGTTTTGTCAAGAAAATCACTTATGCTTAGCATAGTAGTGCATGCTGTAATCTCAGTATTGGGGAGACTAGTAAATTCAAGGCTAGTGGATGATGTAATGAGACTCTGTCTCGAAAAACAAAAAAAACCCAAAAAACCAGACCCACCTATGCGATTGTTTTCAAACAATATAAATTTCTCTGCCTGTAGGGTTAAGTTAGCATTGTCACAAACATGTCTCCCAGTGACGTGAGCCGGTACCCTGGACTGGGTACCCAGGTTTCTGATCCATGACTAGGCTGAGGTAGGGTCTGAATGCTTCAGGTCTGCATTTTAGGCTGTCTTAACCTTAGGAGCCCAAGCAGCTTCCTGAGAGGTGGAGCACCACTGTAAAACTTGGGCTATGAAAGACAACTTAATTCAGAAGAGATCACTACCCAAGAGGCTTTGCAGACAGGGAAGTGACCAGATAAGGCAAGTGAGTCCCCCAGCATCATGCAGCATTCTGGTGCCAGAACCGGAGTCTCCTCATCCACAGAGGCTTCTTCTGGAGCTGTCCAGCTGGCCCAAGGGGACTGAACTGATGTGGCAGTGAGCCCAACAGTGTCCCTTCGAGGGCAGAGATGACGCTCCTGTGGTTACTATTCAAGCCATCTCTGTGTCCCCATTGACATCAGTCTGAACCTCTGTCCTACCCCAGGTCTACCGTGACCAATAACTAAGATACATAGCCTGTCAGGCATGGTACCCAATGTCCTTTATATTTTAATCCTCACAACCACCTTAAAGACAGGTATTCTTGTTCCATTTCACAACAGAAGGAAGCAGGTGAGGCTAGAGAGGTTGAGTCACTTGCCCAAGGTCACACAGCTAGTTAAGGAGCAGATGGGGTCCAGCAGAGTCCCTGCTAGCAGGTTCACTGCGAGGGTGAGGAAAGGGAAGGTTTGGGACCAGAGCCAGGAGGAAGGTGGAGCCACTGGGCAGCCCCGGGCTATTTATATGACACCTCTCCAGCCTTGTCACGATTGCTGGCACCGGTGGCTCCTGTGTTGCTGCCAGTCCCTGGAAGGAAGAAACCCAGGGCAGCATCTGGAACCAGCTGCTGGAGGATATCACTGGAGTGTCGGGGTAGGAACATTTTACCTTAAACTCCAGGTCAAGTAGCCACTAGAGGGGGAGTCATGGCATGGTGGCCCCATGTGTTCTGGGTTCTGACATCCCACTTCCTCCTTTTAATGCTTTTCTCTGAGGGAGCCAACCT